GCGCAGTTGATAGTGTGATTACCTAGCAAGAGTTCAATCCCCAGCTTCCCAGCTCCTCCCTCCCTCCCTCCCTCCCTCCCTCCCTCCCTCCCTCCCTCCCTCCCTCTCTCTCTCCCTCTCTCTCTCTCTCACACACACACACACACACACACACACACACACACACACACACCGAATTTGGAATTAGGGAAGAATAAACACTACAATCCCTTTTGTACTGTAGCTATTTTTCAAATCAAGTCTTATGCATTTTTCCTGGAGCAAGCCTTGGACTGAAAATGCCCTGTTTCTCTCTTCTATGTAGCTGAAAGAGCAAAAGAAGAAATGAAGCCAGGCCCCAGTGGCTCACACCTGTAATCCTAGCTACTCAGGAGACTGAGGTCTGAAGATTGGCCTTCATAGCTAGCCAGGGCAAGAAAGGCCATGAAACTCTTATCTCCAATTAACCACCCGAAAACCAGAAGTGGCGCTGTAGCTCAAGTGGTAGAGCGCTCGCCTTGAGCTGAAGAGCTGAGGGACAGCGCCCAGGCCCAAAGTTGAAGCCCCACAACTGACCAAAAAAAAGGAGGAGGAGGAAGAAGGAAGAAGAAGATATAACTGAAACCTGCTCTAACCAGAATTATTGTGTGGACTCTCAGAACCCAGGTCCACCCTCTTTGCTCCATCTAGGTAAGATGTCAACAGATCCTCGAGAATCACACATTTGACACCCATGGGAATTGCCAAAGGATCTGAAATGGCAGCACAAGGTCACCTCCCAGGAGACTGTCTCCTGATGCCTGGGGCAGGAAGTGAGGCCTTCACACACAAACCTTTTGTTTCCTCCACCTTTTTTGCAAATGCAGTTTTCCACACCCTGAAATTCCACCGTGGCTGGAGGAAATGAAGGGGTTGAAACCAATTCTAGATCATTCTCACGCTGCTCTTGCAGCGACCCCTGAGTTCATCCCTGCACATATAACCACAAAGTTCTTACAGAAAGCAACTAACACATCTTCTAGGCTAACACAAGGTTTTAATCTGTCTCAGCCTGGCCTCTACTAACGGAGATTTAATTTGGCTAAAGATGGAAGAAAATCCTAGTCCAGTGGTGTGAGTGCTCAGGTTCATTTTCACAAGTTGGGGTGGGAAGGAGGCAGACCATCCATCTGGCCATTCTGGCCATTCCATCAAGCTCTTCCCTCCCTTGCCACTATCATCCCTGGAGCCAACCCTGATGCTCAGGTCTAAGGTGGGAGCCAGAGCTCCAGCCATCATATCCAAGTTTCAAGCAGCTAAAGACAACTTTGTCATATGGCAAAACTCAACTACAATGGAAATGAAGAAACATAGTCTTTATCCTGAGAATGCAGCATGTAGATCTATATAGGACAACTGACCTCTTCAAAGGTCATTGTTTTAGATGAAAATAGAAGGTATTTGGTGGGGGGGAGGGCGGCAACAGGACAAATTTGAGTATGGACTCAATCTTAAATGATATTAGAGAATTATGGTTAATTCTCTTATGAGTTCGTGATTACATAGGAACATATACTGATTTTTAGGTAGTTTAGCTATGAAGTACTTAAGAATGAATCAAAATAGAGTATACCGCTGGGTGCCAGTGGCTCACCTGTAATCCTGTAATCCTAGCTGACACTCAGAAGGCTGAGATCTGAGGATCACAGTTCAAAGCCAGCCCAAGCAGGAAAGTCCCCCTGAGACTCTTACCTCCAGTTAACCACTCAAAAACCAGAAGTGGCACTGTGGCTCAACGTGATAGAGTGCTAGCCTTGAGCAAAAGAGCTCAGGGACAGCACCCAGGCCCTGAGTTCAAGCCCAACAGACCAAAAAAAAAAAAAGAAGTAAAAAGAAAAGAAAAAAGATACAGTATGCAACTGGTTTAAAAAGATTAGTACAGGGCTGGGAAGATGGCTCAGTGGTAGAGCGCTTGCCTTGCATGCCTCAGGCCCTGGGTTCGGTTCCTCAGCACCACATAAGCAAAAAGAAAAAAGCTGGAAGTGGCGCTGTGGCTCAAGTGGTAGAGCGCTAGCCTTGAGCTGAAGAGCTGAGGGACAGCGCCCAGGCCCAGAGTTCAGGCCCCACGACCGGACCCAAAAAACTAAAAAATAAAAAAAATAAATAAAAAGATTAGTACAGCAAACGTAGTAAAGAAGTACTGTGTCTAGGAGACACATAGCCAGGGAGCGTGACTGCCCATCTGGCCAGGCTGCTCCACGCCCTTGTCTGTGAAGCTGACTGAGGCCCAAGGGAATGTGTGGGTGTTTCCTTGGCATTCCGGGGCAGATAAGGTGATTTCTTCTAAAAGTGTGTGTGTGAGGTCCCCCAACCAATCCCCTTTGAAGGGACCCAGCCTCTCTGCCCCAGAGGTGAGGCTGTAGACCTCGCTGGCAGATGCAAGGCAAGGGAAAATGGATAAAGCCCAGGGTTCATCTGCCCTCCCATCTCCTCTGTGTGCAACACACACACACACACACACACACACACACACCCAGGAAAGAACTGAATGTGGCAATCACTGGCTGCAGCCCAAAGTGGTTCACTGGACTCTCAGCTCCTTTGCCCCTTTTCCACCATGGAAAGCTATTGTGTGGGATTTTCTCAGAGGAAGAAAGCAGAGGAGGAAAACCAGCTTATTATAGTCGTTCCTTGGAAGCTCTGGTACAGGGAACGTAAAGCAGAAATTAGAACAGCGCTCTACCATTGCTACTTGGCAAAACCTATCAACATGTTAAGTCTCTAACTGTCCAAAGACCCCCACTGCTGGGGCTCCGCTATACAAAAACATGGCAGCCCAGACAGCCACCGCTGCACTGTCCACGCTGCAGCGAACTGAAGGTGAGCCAAAGCGCCAGCCATCAAAAGACCTGTGATACATAAAAGAGCCAGTCTCAGACGACAGCTTAACTTGTTGCTTTTATTTAGCTAACATCGGTTACAATGCCATGAGGCACCAGAAAATACTCCAGGGGGAAGGAAGTGAGTGTATGAAGAGGATGGAAAATTCCAGGCTCCAATCCACTCACTGTCCCAGGCTCCACGAGACCTGACATGGTGCAGTCACAACGTGGCCTTTCTTCTGTTAGGTTCCTACCAAAGCTTCAGATCTGGAATCCAATCATGGACAAACCACAGTGGGGACACCACCAAAAACTGGTCTCTCACCTTCAAAACTGGAGAGAGACAACACCAGGAAACTAATGAGACAGGACAAGCAAATACAAAGTGATTCTGAACCAGATACCGTGATGGTACGGGACATTATTGGGACTGCTGGCTAACAGGAAGCCGACCTGTGTTTATCCTCCATTGCTGTGGAGCAAATTATACAAACTCAGTGGTTTGAAGCATCACCATTTCCTAGCACATGGTTCAGTTGAGGCAGAGTCTGTTGAGTGAGTTCTGGGCAGTATCAAGCTGTCACCCAGAGGGTGACAAGGATCTGCTCTTCTTGTTTAGATCACTGGCAAAATTCAGTTCTTTGTGGCTGTAGGTCTTTACTAGGGTGCTTCAGAGAAACAGAACCAACAGGAGAGGTGGGGGGAGGAGAGAGAGAAAGAGAAGGAAGGAGAAAGGGAGGAAGGGAGGAACTTTGGATTTGATCTTTGCCCATGGCATGAGACTATCATATGCCCAGCTCCCAGGCAGCCACACGATCATGAGGTTAAACAACTGATACCCCATAATGCTAGTGGGTTGGGTTTTTTTTTTGATATAGTGTTTTGTATTTTTACATCTCATGTCTTCAAAAATGCAACATTGTTTAGAGAGAGCATCTTCCCAGTAGAGTCAAGACAAAGTGAGATCATTAGCGAACCCTAGTACAGACTGTATCTTTACATAAAAAGAAAATGAAGAGAGACATACACACAGAGGGAAGGTAATACGGACACACTCAGGGAGAAAACAGCTTCCTGTGTCCAAGAAAGGCCTGGAACAGAGCCTTCCAACACAGCCCTGCAGCCCTGGCCCTCTGACTTCTAACCTCCAGAAGTCTGACACAATCCATTTCTGTTGCCTAAGCCATTCCATATGCTACCATCAGAGCAGGCCCACAAATGAATCCACTTCCCGGGAGCCACTGAGCCTTCCCAACAGCTGCAGATGGATGGAATTCAGTTGGGCTCCCTGCTAAATCTGAACAGAAACCCTGGGGCTCATAGCAAACATGGTGATGTTCACCTGACTCGGGGACAGAAGTAGAGTCACGCTCCGGTACGCCTGTGTCTGGTGTAACAGCTCTCCCAGCCCTCGGAAGCTCTCGCGGCCCTTCACCTGCCCTCCGCTGCTGGGTATGAAAGGAAGAGAACAAAAGCCAGAGCTTTTGTTCTGCCCACTCCCACTTCTCACTGTTGAACTGCCTTTCCTTCAGTGGATGAACACAAAGGAGAGAAGGCGACGGAGTAGCTGTGGCACAGCAAGACACACGCAAGAGCCATTGGGCATAAGCCCTGTGTCTGTATGGCTGACCCAAGCCCAGCATGGCAGCCTCTAAGTCTCCATGTCAGTGCACTCCAGCAAGTGGAGGACTGCTTTACCCACTATTTCCTCAGAATAACAAGCCTGGGCCAGCAACTAACCCAGTGCATGCTGTTACCATGGTGGCTCTTCAAGCACAAGGAAGATCTGAACAGGCACTGCCGGGCAGCAGGTCATTCTGCCTCCATACTGAGACATGGTAGCTGCTAGAGTTTACGGGAGCCAGCTGATCCCATCCAAGTGGAAAGCTAGTGTATATAATTCTCTGACCCAGCTATGATGGGGAAAATACAGTGACAAGTGCTGAGCCAAAGAGAAGAGTACATAGAAAGTGCCTGCACTATTCTTGTCATTTGTGTCTAGAGCTGAACTAGTTTGAAAATAAAATGTGAAGCTCCGGTGCCGATAGTCTGGTGCACAGGGTCCCAGTGGCCCTGCGTGTGCATGGAGTGGAGGCCTGGAAGGGGCTGTGGCATCAGGGCAGAGCCCCGGCCCCCAGGAAGGGATGAGGCTTCAACTCCTGAGTTTCAAACAGCTTTATTTCCTCCATGCTTTTTATCCTAAGTATCCAATGTCTTTGCGCTATTGAAAGACCCAGGATCTGGATTCGTGGTGTGACCCAGAGACAGAAGAAAGCCTTCACTGATTCTAGCGATCCCGTGACATGCTTCTACAGTCTGGCCAAGCCACAGGTTCAAGCCCTGCCTGGAGGCTGAGCCCTGCTTGTCACCACCCAGCCACGGGCTCGCCTGACGTCATCACGTCCGATGATCTGCTCCAATGGCGTCAGTGACTCTGCTAAAACCTTGCTCTCTGGAGAGAAAGAAGACAATGAGCTTTCAGCAGGGTGCATGCAGCCCTGCACACAGAAGCCCACACTCTCCTGCCCCCTGGGGCACCCACCAGCCTCTCTCCTACTGGTGCCCTCCACCCCACCTTCCCTAGGAACTGGAGAGTTGCCCAGCCAGGTCTGACATGGAGCCCATGTCACTCAATAGCATGATTCTGCCCGGGACTCAATTCTGTTGTCAAAAAAGAAATAGTCATGTTATCCTGACTCAGTGTACCCTTCCAGTCCTTTGAGTCTTTCTGAACTAACTTCTGCTGACTTGTCACGAGCCCCACTGTCCCACTTACTTCAAGAGAGCCTCCAGCTCGCGCTTGACCCTGCCCACCACGGGTGGCCCCCGGTAGGTGAGGGCTGTGTACAGCTGCACCAGCGAGGCCCCTGCCTGGATCTTCTCCAGCGCATCCTGCCCGCTGCTGACACCACCAACGCCGATGATGGGGATGCGGCCTGCAGAGAAGCCCAGGGCAATGCCATGAAGGAAGGGGAGAGCTGCGCCTCAGTGGGCACGCCACCCCGGAGCCAGAGCCACACGCATATCCCAGGGCACACCGGCAGCAGCCTTGCCTTGGGTGAGGGCGTACATCTCCCGGATGGTCTGTGTTGACAGGTCTCGGAGGGGCTTCCCACTCAGCCCTCCGGTCTCATGGCGCAGGGCACCCTGAAGACCAGTAGGGCGACTCACGGTGGTGTTTGTGACAATCAACCCATCGATGCCCAGCTGCAATGTGAGAGGAAGAGCCATGACTATAAGAGACTCGGAGCTTTTTCTCTGGAGGACTGAGGCAGCGGCCAGACTTGGGACCCACACCTTCAGCCCCGGAAGCAAGAGCTTCACAGGCCTCGCTCTACTTCCTGTCTTGGCCTCAACATGACATCACAGACACCTCCCCCCCAAAACATTCCTTAATCCTTGTCTGGTAGGACCAGGATTTGAACTCAGCACTTCCAGGCTTGCTGTTTTCACTACTCCACCATGGAGACCAGCTGGAGACAGTGACACAGACAATACTGCTGTCCTACACCAAGCCTGGCCAGAGAGGCCGTGGGGTCATGCTGGATGAAGAGGAGGAAAAAGGCTCAACAAACATTCACTTTGTCCTGCAGGAAGAAGTACATAATGAAGACAGGCTACTGGCCTTACACCTCACGGAGAGGACGTCACGCTGGGCGTTCCCAGGGGTCCAGATGGCCTCTGGGGAGTGAGAGGGGTCCCCACCTTTGGGCCACCCTGCCTCGAACCTCTCTGGCCACACTGGCGATGTCCTCCTTGTCCTGGGCGGTGAGGTCGGGGGCGATCTTCACCAGCACGGCCGGCTTCTGTGGTCCCTTCAAGGAATCCCTCTCCTGCAGCACCTAGGGTAGCACGAACCACATACTGGAGACTCCCAGGCTGCAGCCTTAACCTGCAGCCACAGGTCTGCCTTCCACCAATGCTGCAAGCTAACACATGAGCAATTTCTCCTCTGCAAGAAACCCAGAGAAATTTCCTGAGGGATCTAGCTCAAGACGTTATTTTCTGGCTCCACTCTATGAGCAAGAAGATCCCCACTAACATCAGCTAGTATCTTAAGTTTTTCCCTAAACAATAACAAGGAAATACTGTCACAAGCACTGTGTGACAAAAAGTCATTCAACTCATGTATGACACTAGGGATGGAGTGAGAAATGATAGACAAGCCCTTTGTGGTTTGCCACAAAGTGAGTAGACAGACAAGTGAGATTCTGCTGCGCAGAATCAGTGCTGCGACAGAGCAGACTCACACCTGGACCAGGTGAAGTTTCACCTTGGAGAAGTAGCAGGAGCTGGGAAGACAGGAAAAGGAACAGGTGCAGTGGATTACCTTGGTCAGCAGGCGGCGCAGTTCAGCTTTTCCCTGAAGGCTGCGCAGCCCAGCCGTGTTGGGACTAGACACATTCACCACCAGGTAGTCAGCCAAGGGGCCCAGGACCCGAACCCCCTCTGCGTAGTCTGCAGCAGCATCCTCCGATGTTTTATTCTTCCCTAGGTTTATTCCCAGTGGCTGCCCATCTGTAAATACCATTGTCAAGATCTGGTCCCCACAGTTTCCTGGGCAACAATTTTCAGGCCATCCCTGAAGCTGTGAGCTTTCCTACAACCAGGTGACAATGGTAAAATGTGGTCAAAACACAGCTCACCATCCTTGTAAGGCAGTGTAGGCACTAAGGTTTTCCTGCATTCTGCCCTGTTTAAAAAAAAAAAAAAACAGAAGCCAGGCACCAGTGGCTCATGCCTATAGTCCTAGCTACTCAGGAGGCTGAGATCTGAGGATCATGGTTCAAAGCCAGCCCAGGCAGGAAAATCCATGAGACTCTTATCTCCAATTAACCACCAGAAAAATGGAAGTGGTGCTGTGGCTCAAGTGGTAGAGTGCTCGCCTTGAACTGAAGAGCTCAGGGACAGAGCTCAGGCCCAGAGTTCAAGCCCCACAACTGACAAAAAAGAAACAGAAAACGAAGAGACTGGGAATGCAAATACTAACAATAAAAAAGGAAGGCAGGAAGTGTAGCACAGAGGCAGAGTGCAGGTTCAATACACGAGTCCTCTGGGCCAGTCCCTACCACCAAAAGAGTGGGCCTTATAAATGTAGTAAAAATGGGGTAGACACAAATCAGTGGGTGTCAGAGAGACAACCTGATCTAAAGGACACCTGTGGGTCGTGAGTGGTAAAAACCCAAATTAAAGAAAAAGCCTATTTTCAATTATCATGCTTAAAATGTAGGCGTTTCATTGATTTTATAACATAATGTTAGTTCTCTGAGAAAGGGACTCCTCATAATCAGAGTGAGCACACAGCTCCGTGCCCCCACACAGCCCTGACTGTCCCTGGACCTGGACATGATCACTCACACCCACTGCCCTTTCCCTCTCAAAACTGCCTCAGCTGGCAGAAAGCAACACAGCTGTCTTGTTATTTAAGAGTCTGTGGCACTATTTTGCATTTGAGACCTCCACAAATTGCATTTTGAGAAATATGCTGTGTGTGAAAGGAAGGCGCTTGTCTGCACTGAGCAATTAGAACCCAATCAAGTTAAGTCTCGAAGCCTCCCAGGGATAGCACCCATCATGCCCAGGCTGTTTGTACACCTTAGTTTTTGGCCACACAGGTGAACTGGCCACACAGCACAGCTTCATCCACTCAAGCTATGGAGATCCTGCAGTTGGGGATGGCTGGATGATCCCTTCCCCACAGGGCCCCAGTGCTGTCAGCTCAGGCCCCTGGTGTTCTGCTGGCAAGAAGCTTCACAGTTCCCAGCTGAGACCTGCGCTGAGCCCAGCCCAGAACCCTGCCTCACTCCCCATGCCTCATTTTACCTTCAGTGAGCTTGGTCTGCTTCTGCTGTCGGGCGCGTAACCGCTGCTCCACCGCCGAGAGCCCGTGGCTGTTAAACCCGTACCTGCAGCACGCATGTGCATCAGGAAGGGGCAAAAGGGTAAGAAGACAATTGAAGACTGCACTGTAGCCATTTCCATCTTACTCCTCTATCTCCCTGGCCCCTAAAACCCCGATAGCTCAGTCCCCAGAAAGTCACTGATGGCCACAAACATCCTGCCAAATTCTCCCCAAACAGGCTCTCCAAAATCCTGCAGTAAGAAAGTACACATGTCAGTATTAGGCCGTGGCAATGCCTACTTCTCCTGGGTTTACTGAAATTTCCCAGGATGCCAAGGGGCAGGCCTTAAGCAGTCTGGAAGGATTTTCCTCAAAGCAGCTGTGTGTGTGTGGTACACACCGGCTCCCCCTGCTCACTGAAGGCTAGAACAGCCTAGACAACACCAGGGCTGTGCGCCACAACTCTGCTGTGGCTGGTCCACGGTGAGGTGCTGCGTGAAAAGAAAAAACCACCCTGGCCTTGGTAGTCTTGAAGCAAGTAAGAAAAGGCAAGTAGTCAGTTGGAAAGGTGGCTCAGTGGTAGAATGCTTGCCTTGCATGCACGAAGCCTGGGTTCGATTCCTCAGCACCACAAAAGCAAAAAAAACTGGAAGTGGCGCTGTGGCTCAAGTGGTAGAGTGCTGCCTTAAGCTGAAGAGCTGAGGGACAGCGCCCAGGCCCAGAGTTCAGGCCCCACAACCGACCCCCCCCCCAAAAAAAAAAAGGCAAGTAGTCAATCATTTTAATAGCAATTCCACATTACATGATGGTTTTAGAAGATACTGTACTAGAATTGTCGTAAATGAAGCATATTGTAAATCTCCCTTCTTTATCTGGTTTCAAGGTGGTCATTACAGTACTTTGAGGCTCACGGTGTATTTCTGGGAGCCAGTGGTGAACGCGGGCACTGGATCAGTGGTGGGGAAAACCGCCCCCTGCGGAGGCCAGCGAGCCTCGGCCTGCCGGCTCTCCCACACGGCCTCTGCGCCTGAGTGGAATGCCCCACCCTCAAGCCCTGCGTGCACATGTGTTAAAGTGCCACGGGGAGAGCGGCTCTCCCAGACACACAGGAGACGAACTGTACAACAGCTCCTGAGCATGCCGAATGTCAGCACGATGCTCACAGCTCGCTTGAGGAAGAACCAGGGGCCATCACCCACCTGTTAATGATGGCTTGGTCCTCTGGGAGGCGGAAGACTCTGGGTCTGGGGTTTCCTTCCTGAGGCTGTGGAGTCACACTTCCCACTTCAACAAAACCGAAGCCCAGCTTGTAAAGTCCATCCACAGCTTCCCCGTGCTTGTCAAAGCCGGCAGCAAGCCCCACGGGATTCCGGAACTTATGGCCCAGCACTCTCACTTCCTGGAAGAGGGACACTTCGAGGTCCGCAGGCCCCGCCAGCGTTTCTCAAAATGTGGTCCCCGGGATCCCACGTCAGAATTCCCCAGGGGAGGGCTGGGAACGTGGCTTCGTGGTAAAGTGCTTGCCTAGCATGCATGAAGCCCTGGGTTCCTCAGGACCACATACACAGAAAAAGCTGGAAGTGGCACTGTGGCTCAAGTGTAGAGTGCTAGCCTTGAACAAAGAAGCTCAGGGACAGTGCCCTGACCCTGAGTTCAAGCCCCAGGACTGCCAAAAAAAAAAAAAAAAAATTCCCAGGGAAGTCTAGGCCCACAGAATTTCTCTGAACGGACAGGTGTGTTTGTAACAATTCTCTGCAGGTGATCCTGCTGCCGGCCAGAGCCTGAGAGCACGAGGTTCCTCATCATCAACGCTGGGGAGGGAACCAGCACCCACAGCATGGCAACCAGGCTACGGGCACCACCCTTTCTGTCTCCTTTCTATTCCTAGCTCCTTGTCTACCAGCCTAGACAGGAGAGTGGGTCAGTGATGCTGGTCAGGTGGCTACTCTGAAATCAGAGAGTGACAAACAACACAAACCCTGCAATCAGCCTAATTAACCGGCCTCAACTGTACCCTCCCCACAGGCTGATGAGAAGCCCAGCAGCCCCCCACAGACGTGTGAGGAGGTGGAAGATGGACGGCACTCAGCTAGGTTGGTCTCAGTGCTGGCTCCCGCAACCTGAGGCTAGGTGAACATCTCCCAGGGCGAAGCCACCCAACCCTGGAGGTGAAGGAAGGTGCTCCAAGCAGCAAGAACAACAAAGGTACGAACATGCGGGCGGCGCGGTGGGAAGGAGAGGCTCCTCAAAGACAGTGGTTCTCAACTCCGCTGCAGGACACAGCCCTGCCAGCTCCTCTCAGAGATGATGAATGTATTGGTGTGACAGGATGTCAGAGCAGGACATTCCAAAAGCCCCCCCAGAGCCTCTAACAGTGATTGGGAGCCAAGGGTTAGGGAATTGTGGAGAACTAAAACCAGAAATTAAGTTCAGGTAAGAACATCAGGAGGCCTGAATGTTGGTTAAGGAGTCAGGAACTGCTGGCATGTTGAAGCATGCCTGTAGTGTAAGCATCTTTTTGTTGTTGTTGTTGGTTGTGGGGCTTGAACTCTGGGCTTGGGCACTGTTCCTCAGCTCTTCAGTCAAGGCTAGCATTCTACCACTTGGGCTATAGTGCCACTTACGTTTTTCTGGTGGTTATTTGGAGATAAGAGTCTCACGGACTTTCCTGTCTAAGCCAGCTTTGAAGTACAATCCTCAGATCTCAGCCTCCTGAGTAGCTAGGATTATAGGCGTGAGCCACCAGCAACCAGGCTTAGTGTGAGCATCTTGTGAGGCTGAGACAGGAGGAACATTTGAAATCTTGAGTTCAGGAATGGCCTGGACAACACAGCAAGACCTGTTTCAAAAGGCGGCATGGTGGGATTGTGTATGAGCTGCTGCACGTGGGCCACAGCAGCATTCAGGGTGACCAATGGTCAGCTGTGTTCACCCAAACACAGGGACCCCAGCTCCCCCTCCAGCCTCCCACTGTACACCAGCTCAGGGCTTTCTAGCCTGGGTGGGGCTCCACACAGGGAAGGCCCTTTCAAATCCGACAGCAACCTTAAGGACGCATACCAGCTGCTGGAAATTGTGCGATCGGGAGGTGAGAGGGAAAACAGAGCAGAGCCCTCTGAGTCCTGACAGCGCCCCTTCCCCTAAAATGTCTGAGTGCTTCTTGTGTGGGTTTCCATATTCCAGTCACTCTGCTGAAAAGTCTGCCACATCGCGAAGCAGATTCTGTGAGGCTGTGCCCCGATTGCGCGATTTCTTGCGCAGATCCCAACGTAGCTCGGTCACACGCCCAGTCAGCAGGTGTGTGCTAAACCAAGCTGGGGCAGGTGTCTGGCTGCCGTCCTCACAGGCGTCAGCTGGCTCTACCTGCTTCCCATTAAACGCGTCATGATGACAGCAGAGGGGTGACTGAGCTACTTGTGACCGCACAGTGCCTGTGGTTGGTGCCAGGGCCAAACTCCAGGGGTCTGAATTCTGGTTCTGCCACCTGAGAGCCATGTCACTTAAGGACTGTGGATGGAGTAGCTGTGTGTGTGTTCAACACTGCCTTTCCCTGTTCTCTGAAGACCAGGACAGCCTAGACAAGACAGCTACAGGCCACAGCTCTTCAGTGGCTGCTCCACACAGTCCCATGCAAGTGACATGTGACCAGAGGGTGTGAGACGTAATCAAGATGGCTGCTGCCCTCCCCCTGGGAACCTCAGGCTTGGTGAGCCTCACCCCAGCTTATGCGCAAGAGAGGCCTTGACCTGCCCCCTATCTAATGCACAGGCGCTTCCAGAGCACTTACCAGCATGTCAGACTCTTGGAATTTGGCCCGAGGAAGGAGCCCCAGGGCAGTGAAGCGAACGGCCAGCTTGTGGGAGGACTCTGGGTCCAGCAGCCCCTGCAGAGCAGGCATCAAGTATTCAGCGTAGAAATGCTCATCCCCCGTGGCTGTCAGGTAGGAGGCAAAGAAAAGTCCTCCACCTCCCAGGATGACCACAGCATCTAGGGCCCGCTTCTGGTTAAAAAAAAAAAAAAAGTACATCAGGGTCACTGCCAGGCCAGGCTGGGCACCCTCCCTGCACCCTTTACGCCCAGACAGCTGCGACATAGTGGCATGTCCATGAAGTGACATCCCTACCGCTGCTGCCGCTAGTCCCCTTCATTTCCGGTCCTGCCCCACCTACTGGCTTCATACAGAGGCTGTGTCCCTCAACATTTTCCTTAGGACACTAGGCCAGGGGTTTTCAGGTGGAGTACTGCCCCCTAGAGGCCATGGGGAGTATTTTCCACTCAAGTTTTTTTTTTTTTTTTTTTTGCCAGTCCTGGGGCTTGACCTCAGGGCCTGGGCACTGTCCCTGAGCTTTTTTGCTCAAAGCTAACACTCTACCACTTGAGCTACAGCACCACTTCTGGCCTTTTCTGTTTGTGTGGTACTGAGGAACTGAACCCAGGGCTTCATGCATGCTAGGCAAGCACTCTACCACTGAGCCACCTTCCCAGCCCCAGTATAACTTTTGAATGTCCAAGTGACATTACTGGCAAGCTATCACCTTCATGGTTCCTGACATTTCAGGAATCATTACCCTATAAACTGAGGGACAGCTATGCTGTTTTGTGTAACGCATTACTAAGAACTAAGTCACATCTCAGAAATTAGGAAAGGCAGCCAGGCGCTGGTGATTCATGCCTGTAATCTAGCTACTCAGGAGGCTGAGATCTGAGGATTGCGGTTCAAAGCCAGCCCGGACAGGAAAGTCCATGAGACTTTTATCTCTGATAAAGCGCTAGAAAACTGGAAGTGGCGCTGTGGCTCAAGCGGTGGAGCGCTCGCCTTGAGCTGAAGAGCTGAGGGATAGTGCCCAAGCCCTGAGTTCAAGCCCCATGACAACCAAAAAAGAGAAATTAGGAAAGGCACAGCACTTGGGGTTTTTGACAACATGCCTGTGGCACCCACATTTCTCGTACAAGCTTAACCACTCAACAACCTGTTATCGAGATGAGTCAGGACCCAGTGACACATTGAAATAAATACATGTTGTTTTATTTCTCCTTTAATTTCTCCTTTATACTGTGATTAGAACATCATGTTGACGTGTTAAGTTACACATGGAAAGGTTATCAGCCTGCAGTGGAATCTCTGTGAAATGTAAAGGTGGTGGTAGTGGAGAAGGCGCCTCAGGTCTTACTATGGGAAGGTCATCAGCCTGCAGTGGAATCTCTGTGAAATGTGAAGTGGTGGTAGTGGAGAAGGCGCCTCAGGTCTTACTATGGGAAGGTCATCAGCCTGCAGTGGAATCTCTGTGAAATGTGAAGTGGTGGTAGTAGAGAAGGCGCCTCAGGTCTTACTATGTGGACACTCAGTGTCACTCATCAGCTCAAGCACTACTCAAATGTGACTGAGGCTAAAGGTGGGGGAAATGTAGCTGGTCCAGCCTTTGAGGTGAGTGCAATCTCATGAAGAGACAAACATCAATGACTGTGCCAATATGTAGTCATGACAATTGCTATAAAGGAAGAAAGTAGGGGAAATGGAAGGACACAACAAATCTCAGCTAAAGAAAGGCTTCCTTACAAGGTTGACTTGAAGCAGATACGAAAGGATAAAGAGTTAGCAAGGAGGGCGCAGCCTGTAATCCAGATTACTGGGAGGCAGAAAATGGGGAAGACAGCCATTTCAGGCTAACTCTGCCAAAGCTAGCAAGAATCCACCTTAATAAGCCTTGTGTGCTGCTGCATGCCTGTCCACAGCTATGAGGGAAGCCATAAGATCCTAGGCCAAGAATGTGTGCAGGCAGGACCTCATCTAGAAAATTATTTTAAACGGCTGGAGGTATGTCTCAATAGGTAGACCATGAAGCCCTGAGTTCAAACCCAGTACTGCTCAAAAAAAAGTAGGCAGTAGAGGGAGGGCGGGGAGAAGGGTCTGTTGGTGGCAGAAGAAAAGCTGGGAGTGGGGGACATTTGGATCTGGGTGTAGGAAAGCATGGCAATCCTTGCCACTGAGGAGACTGAGAACTGTGGATCGCAGCCCCAGCAAACGAATCTATGCGCCTCTTACCTCCAGCTAACCAGCAAAAGCCCAGAACTGCAGGCGTGGTTCAAGTAGTAGAGTACCAGCCGTGGGTAAACCCAAGCAAGAGCACTGAGGCTTTTAAGTTCAAGCCTCCATGCCAGCACAAATATTTTTTTAGGCGGGAGTAGCGGTGGTGGTAGTAGTAGATTTGGGTTTGTTCTCTAAACAAAACTAGCAGATGACGCGATCACAGAAGCCTTCTCCAGGAAACCGCAGAGGCGCCGCTCCGGTCACTCTACAAACAAGCAAGCACCTATTCCCTAGGACCTTAGGGGTCCACCGAGCTCAGCTCCCGCGCGCGGCCCTCCACAGAGCGTCAGAAGGGTCGGGACACGTCGGCTCTAACTTAATCCCTTCCGCGCGGGATCCTTGCCCGGCTGGGCGGTCGGGCGTTCCTTCTCTAAGGCCTCCGGTGCTAGGCGCAGGTAAGATGTGGCCCACCTGCACTCACATGGATCGCCGTCTGTCCCACACCTGGCTAAGGCCTGGGTGTCGACGCTGTCCTCCGTCCTCCCCCGCCCAAGGGCGTCCGCACCGCAGCGCCTACCTCCCAAGCAAGACTCACTTTCAGATGTGCCCACGCCATGCTCCTTCTGCCAGTGGGCCCGCCTCTGTCCCACCCCCATTGAAGGATGTACTGGAGGCACCGCCCATCTGTTTCCGGATCCACCAATCATGGGACAGGGCATTGCACTCGGGGAAGAGGGCCCGCGTGCCCTTGCCGGAAGTTCTGATTGGCCAGTTGTGCGCGTGCGCAGTCCCGAAGCCTCGCCCCTCCGGCTCCCCTCTGGGCGTCTGGTTGCTAAGCGTCCCGGAGGTGCGGGCGGGCACCTGGGCGCTGGGGCCTGGCGAGCCCGCCTGGCCGCCGCACCCAGCTCGTCCGCAGTGCCTGGGGGAGCTGGCGCCCTGGACTGGAAAGGCCTCCGGGCCGGTCGTCCGGAGGTCGCACTGCGTCCCTGCCTCCTCATCCGTGGGCGCAGGGAGGGCGCCCCAGCCCGGAGGCCTCCCCGGACCCACGTGCGGGGCAGACAGACAGACTCCAAGCGGAGCCTTCGCTTCGTCTACAGCGGTGCTGATGAGCATTGAGGTTTCTCCAGATTTTAACAGTCGCTTGGTCCTGGGTCCAGCGTCTATTGGATGAGGTTTCTGAGCCTGCGTCAAATTCCTGGTGCCACGGATTCGAGAATGGCTTGTAAGCAGCATCTGAGCTTGCAGCTTCGGCGCGGTGTTGGTATTGCAGTGATCTGAGCTGACCTGACGTGTCGCTCTTAGTCCTCAAATGTCCCAATCCAGAGTCTTGAGCTCTAAGCACTTCCTGTTGCGACACAGCTTCTCTGGACCAAGTCTCAAGGGCAATAGTTATATTGTTGGGGGAGGAGGGGGCTTCCTTTTTTTCTTCCTAACTGCTGTTCTGCCTGCTCAAACAGCTGAGCACTGTCCTAGGAATTAAAGCAGAAGTGGAGGATTTTATATGAGGATGTCAAGTTGGAATAAATGCAAAGACCTGATGGACAGATTCTGTGACAATAATTCATAAGATAGGTGTCTCAAACCATACAACAGATTGAAAATATTAAGTTTAAAGGTTACACTTCTCACTGTGCCTTTTTTTTTGTTTCTCATGCTTTATTTATGACAAATATTCCATACTCCAAATTTCCAACTGTCAAGTTCTTTGAGACGATGCCATCAGCCTTGGCCAATCAGAGAATGGAGTCATCTGACTCACGCATCCTGCGAATGGCCCCGCAATTAGTGGTATGTCTTTAACTGGCCGTTAAACCTGTGACCTTGTCGACCTCAGCCATATTCATTTGGATGGATGCCGGTCCTCGCACGATGATGCAGTTGCTGGTGGAGCACTTCCAAGGCACGTACAGGACTCCCCGGCATGGTTGTGCATCGAAGCCGCACCTGCTGCAGCCTCCAGGACCAGCAGGAGAAAAGCTCAATGTGTCTTTTATATTTGAATAAGTTAAGCATAATTCGACCACAATTGCGACTCACCTTGGACAGAAACTACTTATTAAAAGGGTTCTTGGAGCCTGGAGCCCATGTACTCTACTGGTAGTCTTTCTGGAGGCCGAGATATGAGGATCATGGTTCAAAACCTGCCTCAGCAGGAAAGTCTGGGAGACTCTTATCTCCAATAAACTACCACACAAAAAAAGTGGAGCTATGGCTCAAGTGGTAGATCCCTAGCCTTGAACAAAAAATTCTCAGGGCCAGTGCTCAGGCCCTGAGTTCAGGCCCCAGGACCAATGCCTGTGTGTGCGCGCCGCGCATGCAGGAAGTGAAAGGAGAGCTGGAATGTAGTTCAGTGGCAGAGTACTTGCCTAGCATGTGCAAGGCCCTGGGTTTAGTCTCTTGCATTGCAAAATTAAAGGTTGATTAAGAAAACATTGTCCAAATAGAAATATACTCTTGTGGGCTAGGAAGGTGGCTCAGTGGTAGAGCGTTTGCCTTGCATGCCTGAGGCCCTGGGTTCGATTCCTCAGCACCACATAAGAAAAAAGCCAGAAGTGGCGCTGTGGCTCAAGTGGTAGAGCGCTAGCCTTGAGCTGAAGAGCTGAGGTACAGCGCCCAGGCCCAGAGTTCAGGCCCCACGACCGGACCCAAAAAAAAAAAAAGAAATGTACTCTTGTATAACTGTAATCCCTCTGTACATCACCTTTATAACAAAACTTTTAAATTTTTTTAATTGCTAAGAAAGCATTATTTGCATCATCTGTGTCACTTAGATAGCCACCTTCACCCTGAAACATGCCAAGTGACCTCAGTGCCTTCATTCATTTGCATTCGCACTCACTTCCTGGCACTAAGGAAGAGAACTCACTGGACAGACGATCAAGGGTGTTTGCAACAGGTGCTCACATGGCACACTCTATAGACAAAGCAGCCAAAGATGAGAGAATGAATCTTCCCTATGCATGAAGTACTATGCATGCCTATGTCAAAGGAACCTGTCTAGCCACAGGTTACAGCTCTGTTTACACCTGCTGTTCTGTCGTGTTTGGATTATGCTAGGTTTTTGTTTGTATTTCGTATTCATTTGTTCATCAAATATTTAGTTGGTTGTGCAAGTTTTACAATAGGGTTCAAGCCTGTTTTTGTTTGCATACGTTAAAAAAGGGAAACAAAGTTGAATCCATTATAAGAGTAGCAGATATGGAGGATGATCAAGTCTGATAATGCATAAAGCAAGGATTATCCGTAATAGTACTGTTTAAGGAATTCATGCTACATGAATAGATTTTCATTGCTCTTGCCACACGAAAATGTTTTTTTTAAAGGTACGTGGAATGAGAGGTCCACTAATTTGCTTTACTACTAATGTGCATCCTATAGCATTAGGTTGTATATGTATGTATACATACACGCACACATATAGCTGATCATGGAGGTGGAACTCAGGATCTAGATGCTGTCCCTGAGCTTCTTTTTGCTCAAGGCTAGTGCTCTATCACTTGAACCATTTCCAGGTTTTCTTTTCTTTTTTTACTTTTTTCTTTTTCTCTTTTTTCTTTCTTTCTTTCTTTCTTTTTTTTTTTTTTTTTTTGTCATGGGGCTTGAACTTTGGGCCTGGGCACTGTCCCTCAGCCCTTCAGCTCAAGGTGAGTACTCTACCACTTGAGCCACAGCGCCGCTTCCAATTTCTGGTAGTTAATTGGAGATAAGAGTCTCATGGATTTTCTTACCCAGGCTGGCTTTGAACCGCAATCCTCAGATCTCAGCCTCCTGAGTAGCTAGGATTACAGGTGTGAGCCACCAACGCCAAGTCACTTCCAGCTTTTTCTGAGTAGTTTATTGGAGATGAGAGTCTCACAGACTCTCCTGCCTAGGCTGGCTTCAAACTGTGATCCTCAGATCTCAGCCTCTTGAGTAGCTAGGATTACAGTGTGACCCACCAGTATCTAGCTTAGGCTGTGTGTGTGTGTCTGTCTGTCTGTCTGTCTGTCTCTGTCTGTCTGTCTGTCTGTCTCTCTCTCTCTCTCTCTCTCTCTCTCTATATATATATATATATATATCCTCTCCCCCTTTGGTCAGTCATGGGGCTTGAACTCTGGACCTGGGTGCTGTCCCTCAGCTCTTCAGCTCAAGGCTAGTGCTCTACCACTTGAGCCATTGAACCACTTCCATTTTTCTGAGTAGTTTATCACAGATAAGAGTCTCACGGACTTTCCTGCCCAGGCTGGCTTTGAACCATGATCCCACTTTTAGGCATTTACCCAATCACAAACAAGGCCATACTAAAGCTACCAACACAATTATGTTCATCGTACCATTGTTCACCATAGCTAAGATATGGAACTAACCCAGATGCCCCTCAGTGATGAATGGATCAAGAAAATGTGGTATGTGTGTGTATGTATGTGTGTGTATATGAATTCTATGCCTCCATCAGAAAGAATGACACCGCCCCATTTGTTAGGAAATGGAAAGACTTGGAAAAAATTATATTAAGTGAAGTAAGACAGACCCAAAGAAGTATAGGTCCCATGGTTTCCCTTATCTGCAATAACTAGTATATGTCTAGGACAAGCAGAAGAGATCAAAAGCTATGTACATATGACCATATAAGCTGATGCTAAGCGAAATGAACCCCAAGATAGGGACAGAAGAGATTTTGTCTTTCTTGTTCTTGTTAATGTACTTGTAAGATACTATGTGATTTTGTTTGTTTGTTTGTATGATCTTCCCCCATGGCATAACCCCTGTTGTCATTGTATTTGATTCTGGTGTCCTGCATCTTGTATATACAATTTTTCTAATTTGGGGAGGGGAAGGGAAAAAACAAAATGCTGAAATAAGGATACAGGATGACCCACTATAACAATGATATGTACAAGACACTATGTTTGAAAATGAACTTTACAACTTTGTGGTGGGGGAGGAAAAGGATGGTAAGGGAAAAACAAAGGAGGGGGTAGCAATGCGCCATAGGAAATGGACTCATTACCTTGCTCATGTAACTATAACCCCTGTGTACAATATCTTTACAATAAAAAATACATATACATAACAAAAGCTCAGGAATGATGCCCAGGCCCTGAATTCAAGCCCTAGGACCAGCACAAAACAACAACAAACACCCTTCTGCATTTTTACGAACATCCATTATCAGCAACACTGGCTTGGATGCCCAGCATCCTCTCGTATTTACAGACTCACCTTCGCTGGCGGGCTGTGCCAAAGGCACCTCATGTTGTGTCCACACAGATGGAGGCTCAGTACCCACCCATTGAGGCTCATCCATTGCTCTGTGAATCACTATTATAAATTTTCAGCCTGTAAGAACTCCACCTGGCTCTTCAAAACAAAGCAGAAGCCTTTTGTCTCTTTGGCAAATGGTTCCCAATTCATAAAAGAACACCAATAAGACAAACCCACCCAGCTAACATATTTAAAGGGCTAGGCAGCTGCTAAGCCCCAAGCTTTTTCTTGCTCACAGGTCACAGCATGCTCTTCCATGGAAGAACCTGGGTCTGTTTGCTCCTGGGAACAGGTGTTCTGGCATGGGAATGGAGCAACCCGGAGCAGCATGGGAAACGTCGTTGCTATCAGCTGAACAGACTTAGCTGTAATTTCCAGGACGCAGAGCAC